GGGACTGTGCCTTTTATACACAAATTTGTGAAAAAAGGGTTTACTGCTCATGTATTTCTTTTTCCATATACTTGATTCCATTACCTGACTTCACCCTGTTATCACTCTTCTTTTGGTTTCATTCTTACAATGGTATGTTAGGTATCTTCCAGGCTTATTTGCCTGTTCAGGAAGCTTATGTTTTTAATGTCTCATCTTCTTTACCTCTTCTGCTTCAAACATATCTAATTCATTTCTTAATTGCTTGATCTCAGCTAAAATTAACTTAATGATTCTTATATCATTTCAATATTTGAGTTCTTTCATGTAATTTCTTGATTTGTACCAGTTTTTCTTTTTCCTTCTTTGAAGCTATTGCTATTAGATTTCCTCTCATGTAAGTTTTGCTAGCTTCCCATGTTATTGCCATAGGAATGTCACCTGTATTATTAAATCTAAAAAAATCTTTTAAATCTTTTTCACACTTCTTCACAAAATCTTCTTGGAATAAAATATTATCATATATTCTCCATCTTCTTCTAACTTTCCCTTCTTGCAAAATCATTTCTAATGGAGTATGATCAGAAAATATCTAAGGTTGAATTTTTGCAAGTTAAATTCATAATTAAAGTTTTGGATAGCCAGCACATATCTGTTTTTGTCAATGTCTGATGTCTGTCAGAAAAGAAAGTATAATCTCTAACTTTGGTGTTTTTAAACTTCCATGCATTTTCCAATTATAACATTTCCATATAACTAAAAACATTTCTAGGGAATTTGGCTCTTTTAACCTTTTTGGACTTATCCTTATTTAGATCTATAACTCTTTTCATATCTCCAAAAATCAGTATCTCTCCTTGAAAATCTAGTAACAATTGGAAGATTTTTTTTGGTAAAATTTTTCTTTTGCGTTACTCTTGGTATATATTGTTGCCAATATACATATCTTACCACCCAAAAATCTTGAGGGTAGTAAACCTTCCTTCAGAATCTTTTAATTCTTCTATAACATTTATACCTTAATTATTAATGTAGATTACAACTCCTTTTTAGTATCAGGTGAGGCTTCATAAGCTCTGGGCAATTTCTTATTATTCAAAATATGACAGTGTTTCTTCTTTACATGAGTTTTTTGGATATATAATGCATCTAGATTTGGGTTTTTTTTTTTTCAAGAAATTAAATATTTTAGTTTGGAAGGGAAGTTTAAACCATTGAAGAATTTAATCTTCATTTTGTCTATTTTATTCTGATACTGCCACCTTGTCTAATTTCTCTTCTTTATCTACTTTTCCTCCTTTCCTTCTTTTCCTTCATTCATTCTTCTCTCCCATTTTTAATTTTTTATGTTTGGAGAATTATCCATTGAACTAATAGGGTTTTCTTTTTCTGTTTGTTTGTTTGTTTAGATTCTTTGAATTTGGCTTCGGTTGTTAATTCTTCTGCCAAATGTTTGGCTTGCTCAACTTATAATTTTTCTTTTCCCCTTCACAGTACAACTTCTATAGCAAACTGAACTCTCCAGAAATATATTTTCTCTTTGTAGAATTTGTGTTAAGAAATCATTTATTTATTTATTAACATTTTATTGATAATTTTTTGGAAACGCTGAACTTCTTCCCCAGCTATTTTTAATGAAATTCTCTCTGTTCATTCAATGAAGCATTCCGTGTGTGTGTGTGTGTGTGTGAATCTAACCAATATGTCATGAGGAAATTTATTCTTTAATGCAAAGTTTGAATTCATTCTAGATATCTGTTCAATATCAGGAAAAAATCCTAGAATATTCAAATAATCTTTCAGAAACTTACAAAGTTTATCTTCAAGGTTTTTCTTATCAAATTCTTCAGTAACTTCTCTAAATTGAAGATTATTATATCTGCTCTGGCCTTCAAAAGTTTCAATTCTTTGGTTTACCCTTTCAATCTCAAAATTTATCCTTCTATATACAATTCTTTCATGTTTATCTTTATTTTTTGTAATTTCTTTTGAGTTTTTTGTATCTCCTTTTAAATTGCTGATATTTCTAATGATAGTTCCTGCCTTAAACATATGATTTCTCTCTTTATCCTTTCCTGCATTCTCTTTTCTGATTGCTTTATTTGAATTGTGACTATTTGAATTTGCTGTGTTAATGTCTCCCGAATCTTGTCCATCAATTCTACATCTGAATCTTCTTATCTATTTCCACCCTTTTCCTTCCTTCACTTTAATCAAGTTGTAGCCATACTGTGTTTTTCTATATTTTCTTCTCTGCTTAAATATTTCATAGAACTTTTCATTTGCTATTTCCAATATCCTGAATCTATGAATAACATTTTCTATTTTCAAAACTATCAAATCTTTCTGCAGACAGAAAAAAATTAGTATTAGTCCCAAAAACTTTTTCAGGATTTTTGTAGTCTACTGCAAATCCACTAGATGGCACCCATATTTTTTTTCTGCCTGTTCGGAGAGAGACCACCTTTATTTTGTAAATCTTTCTCCCTGTTAATGAGTGTCAGCAACTTCAACTTATCAGCTTATCATTGCTGAAAGTTTGGATCATTAACACCTTAAGCCCAAGGTGCATAAATGATAACTTTAAGTTATCATATAGAGCAGCAGACCATTAGCATGCTTCCCTCTTTAATAGCTCTTCATTTAACCTATTTCATTAAATAATTGAAATATTTCTTCTTACTTTTGTGAATTTCCCTTTCACAAAGTTTATAATTAGTAGTCTTTTGGCTTGGAAAAGGAAAAGGGAAGATGGGTTTTAGACTTGGAGAATCTACTTTATCTTGTTGTCTTGATAGAATCCAAGCACACTTGACCCTTTTTTAATGAGTGTGGATAGTTCATCTGTCCAAATAGTTTCCTATTGGAGAGGTGGAAGAGATGAATGTCTCGTCTCACCAGTGTTTTCATTCCGAAATGATTGAGCAAGATAAGGTAGCAAACCATCTTCATTCTTTCATTTTTGTTGTACTTCCTGAAAATTAAAAAAAAAAAAATGGGGAAAAAAGATAAGATCGGGAACCACTATCTTCCTCTTCCCAGATTTTTTCAATTAATGTAATTGTGTTTATGAAGAAGAAAGCATTTAAGTTCCTAGATGTTGAAAAAGCATTTGATAATATGTCTTGGTCCTTTCTGTGGAAAACACTTTAAGTTTAGATTGTGGCACAAGATTCATGAATTACATACAGACAATTTGATCAAAACAACATGCAAAGATTTTAATAAATTGAGTATTAACTGATGGTTAAAATTAAAAATGTCATGGCTTGGAAGAATTGCCATAGTAAAATGAATGCCTTACCTAAATTGAATTTTCTATTTCAGACAATACCAATACAAGAAAAAAACTTTGAAAGAAAGGCAAAGGCAATTGAATGTCATTACTGGGAACGGGAAACAAAAAACAAGAATCAGATTTAAAATTTTACAAATTGAAAAAAAGAAAGGAGGCCTAACAGTATCTAATACTAAATTGCACTATTATGCAGCTGGCTTTGTTTGGATTATAGACTGGATTAAAAAACCTGATGAAAGATTAATAAAATTGGAAACAGTTGTCCTGGAAAAAGGCTAACGTAATTATTTGTGGGCTAAAGAATCAACAAAAAAAGATTTAATACAAAAACCATGTAATTAGAGATATTTTAATAAGAATTTGGTTTTCTGTGAGAAGAATTAGTCCTCCAATCCCTTCTGATGTCTCCAATAGAAGCATTTCATGATAAGCATTTAAGGAAAGGTAATGATTTCATAACATATGGAAATATGGTTGATCAACTGGGAGGAATCAAGCTTGGAAAAATGATAAATGACTTCTTTATTTTCAATTGGGTTTAAGACTAAAATGGGAAATTCAAATAGGAAGAGGCATCATAAGAGATCTGATGGAATTTGATAAGTTGATTTTACTGCACAAAGATAATTTATTAGGATGGATTTACAAGCAATTATTGCACTGTGATGTAGAAACTGAACAAGTTAAAACATATATGATAAGATGGATTCAGAAAAAGATATAAAATTTACAGCTAGTAAAGCTTTAAGAGAAAATTGGTATAGCCTTTGATGGTATATTTCACCAAAAGATATTGAGAAAATCAACAAGAATTATAAAAGAAACAGTTGGAAATGCAATAAATGGATGGGACTTTTTACCATTTGTGCTGGGCATGTAAAAAAGCTAACAAATTTTGGAAAGTAACACATGTTGAAATTTAAAAAAAACACCTTTGAATGCTAAGAGTTTTGTGCCAGAAATTCCCCCAAGAAACATGGTAGAATTGTTTAAGTATATGATGACAGCAACTAGAGTCACAATTGTAACAAAATGCAAAGCAGAAAAGAGCAAAGACTGGAAAAATAACATAACTGAATATGCAGTAATGGCAAAACTAACCATCTTCATAAATAAAGACCAATTGAAAGAATTTAATGGCAAATTGAAATCTCAGTATATATGTTTTAGTTAATAATTGAAAGAAAAAACAACCTATAGAAATGTTATTAATGAACTATAATTTCAACATAAATGCTCTGTGGCCATTTAAAATAAATTTGACAAGAATGGAAAATATGCTTGCATTAAGGATTATGTACTGAATGATCAAATTAATATTGCTTGGTGAATTTAATTCTTATCCTGATATTGTTTTATTTAGAAAGAACAGGGAAAAATTAATTATTCATTGTTGGGGGGGGTGTAGATATGTTGTAAGGCAAGTTATTTTCTTGATTTTTAAGTCAAAGTATTTCTTTGTATAATTAAGTATTAATAGGTTAAAATTATAGTTATAAATTGGATAGGCTATATAACACTTATTGACTTTATGTGAAATTTCCCTAATTTGGTGTTATATGTAATATTTTAAAATTGTGACCCCCTTGGTATTTTTAATTCATAAAAATAATAAAATTTAAAAAATTAAAGAAATATTTTTTAATCTTCGCCCATCTACCAATCCTATACATCAGCCTATGTTTTTATCTTTCTAGTAATGTGTATATTCTGTTTTCCACAGAGGAAGATGTATATGGTGTATACTCCAATCTGTTGTTCAAGCATTTCCTTGCAGAAGGAATTATTTGTGGACATAATTTATTTGTTGCTTCAGATAAAGAAGAGCCTGCTGATATACTAAAGGTAAATAAAGGGTTTTTCCCATGTTTTCCTGTTATATAAGAGATTGTGTGAAAAGCAACATGAAAGATCTGTTAGTATCAGGTTTCCTATACCCAGTATTAGAGATAAATTAGTATTGGGTTTATATGTTAACTTCCCCAAACCTTCAACTTTGCTTGCTTGTCAGGAATGAATTAAGATATGAGTCAACACAATAACTGTTCAATCTCTGTCTAGGATCTTTGTACATGCTACCTATCTTTGGATTAAAATAGGAGTAATGCTAGTGGTTCAGAGAAATCCCAGCTACAGATAAATTCAGTACAATGCCAAGTCAAACAAAGTTGGGAAAGGAGAATAGAAAGAATATTACAACTGAGTTACATTTTGTTGAGTTCTTAGAGGCAGTGGGTTGCACCAGCACTTATTTAGGCATACAACAAGTGCCAGATCGTTTGATGCACATGCTTTTGCTGCTTTTCCCTTTTTTCAGTACTTTTCAGTTTGGCAGCACATCAGTTGATTCCTGGTAAATCCCCACACTGATTTCTTCCTGAGGTTTTAGTTTGTATACTCCCTTGAACTGGGGAATTTTAAGTATCCATTGACCCCTTGGACACTGGACAAGGGCTTCAATATTATTCTCAAACGTTTAGTACATTTGCTTCATAGTAGAAAATTTTGAATTGGCCTGAATTAATTTTAGAGTTAGAGTTTTTTGATTCAATAACCCAGACAAATATTGCTGGTTCTAGGAAGGAGAAAAGATAGTTTTATAGGCCATAATTATCTTAATTCTGAATAACTAAAAAGTGGAAGATAAAAAGCCCCATCAGCTGCCTAAGCTACATTATATTTCTACCCAGCAATTTATCCATCATCCTCTGAAAACACATTCATTCCTATCATAGTCAAAGTTGCTTCAGGAAGTCAATACTTAGATGTGACTGTTGAAAACTTACACTCCAGTGAAAATCCTATAGAACAATATATGGGAGGTTTCAAACAGAACATTTTAAATGTCTGGGATTAGTTGCTTCACCTAACAAAGGAAAATAAGAAGTTATAAAGTTTAAAAAGTATACCAACATTTTATGGATATGAATTAATGCAGAGTTATTTAGTTTTAGTAGAACCTTGAAAATATGTTTAGGAAGATGTCAATAATTAGTTGCAAGCAGGGCACTGTTTGCATTCTGACAGGTAGAGGCTAGCTAGAAAAACTGAGCTTGTTAACATAATATAGCAACTCACCATGGCTAATCAGTCACGTTATGCAAACCTGGCATGGCATATTTTTCACAAACAAGCCACCCTGAGAATCCATGGCTTGTTATTGGGTTACTCATATCCATGGTGGAGGCTTGTGATGTCCAAAACTGTCCATGGCCTGTTGGGAATGGCTAAAGTGCTGCCTAGTCAGAGTGATGAAAATCCCTGCTGCTCCTTGTGATCTTGCTAGTGCTGCCACTATCCTCCTACATCCCTTTTTAGTTCCCTCCACCCCTTTCCCTTAAAAATCAAGAAGGAATAGCATTGGAGAATGCCCTGGGTGATTTTCATGTTTTCATTTATTTATTTACTTGGTCGTATGTAGGAATGAATGCCTATGGCTAGGAAATATGTTTAATTTTCCCTTCAGGTGTACTGTTGTACCTGAAATTTGTGTGATTTTCCCCCTTTGTTTTACTTCTTTACCAAGGAATTTGTGCTGTTCCCTCACGTAACTTTGCTGCTTTGCCATGACATGTTCATGACATGTTCATGCTCACAATCCTGCTCACTGCTCTATAATGCATAGGTCTATGTGGCAGCTAGCAGTGGAAACCTGTGATGAGAGGAGACAGGTCAAAGTTGGAGGACCCAAAAGTGGCATTGCTGCTTTCTTAAGTGTTCAGAAAATTCATTCCATCTGGCAAGCTGATATAAGGAGTGGGGGGAAGCTGGCAACCTCAGCAGATCAGTTCCAGAAAAGATCCTAAAGTAGGGTTCAGGGAAACAAAGAGTTCTTGAGCAGAGGCGCATAGGATACAAGCAAGAGCCAGCAGGAGAACTGAGAAGGGAAGTAGGCCATGGCAATCTACACAGCGCCCAATTGTCTGTAAGGTTAGCTACCAATAATCAGGCTGTGGTGGTTTATTCTCAGAATGGCTTAGCATGACTTAAGAACTCATCCACTATGTGCTTAAGTGCTCCTGGTTTCTACACATTTGGGACATACAAGTTCTTCCAGAGTATACCTTGACATTTCAAAGCTGCATTTAAAATACAGGTTCCATACTGTAATCTGTGGTTTACAAACACATTTTAGAGCCAGTGTTGTACAATTTCTACTGTATTTCAGACACTAATGTCAAAGTCCCTGTTTAGCTATGGAACTCATTTAGACAGTAGTCCTGTGCATATTTACCTGGGAGCAGGTCCAAATGAACTCCATTGAGTTGAGTGTAAGATAGCACTGTCAGTATTCATAATCAGTTGTTAACTACTTTTTAGGAATGTCTGCTCCTTGTGCCCCCTAAGATCTGTAGGAGAGGCTCTGCTACAGGAACCCTCCCTGAAGGAGGTAAAGCGGGTGTCTACCCAGAGGAGGGCCTTCTCTGTGGTGGCGCCCAGACTGTGGAATGCGGTCCCCAGAGAGGTTTGCCTGGTGCCAACTTTATATTCCTTTTGGTGCCAGGTGAAAACCTTTTTATTTACACATTATTTTAAGGATTAGGAATTTTAATTGGTTTTTAATACAGTCGCATTTTGTTTTTCTTGGTATTATGAACATTATTATTTATTATTACTTATTACTTTGCTTATTAATTGTTGTTATTCTTGTAAGCTGTCCTGGAACAATTTTCGTATAGGATGGGGTAGAAATAGTTTCCTCCTCCACCCATTACCAGCTTCAGGTAGTCATTCAGAGGAGAGATGCTCTCTCTAAAAACAGTAGCAGATAGTGGTAAAGTGACATAGATCTGAGTGTCATCAGCATATTGGCAACACCCAGCACCAGTCTTCTGGATGATCTCTCCCAGCAGCTTCATGTAGACGTTGTAGCATTGGAGACAAAATGGAACCCTATGGGACTCCACAACTTCTTCTTAAAGGAGCAACAATCTCCAAGCATCAGCATCCAGAACCAACCTGAGAGGTAGGCACAGAACAACTGCAAAGTGGTGCCCTTAATTCCCAACTCCTTTAGATGGTTCAGATACTGATGTTTGGTGATGAAGTACACTGAGAGATCCAATCAAGGCACATATCTCCTATCAATTCTGAGTTGTAGTTTATCCACCAGAGCAGTCTCAGCTCTGCATCCTGCTCTGGAGCCAGCTTGAATTGGGTCCAGAAAATCAGCCTCACTCAGGACCACATGGACATGGAGAAACTGCAGCTGCTCAATAATGTTACCAAGGAATGGTATGTTTGAGACTCTTGCAAAAGTACTAAGTTCCAGGGGGTTCAAATTAGGTTTCTCAAGGAGGGACTGACAAATTGAAATCTATTCAGGATCACCATATACATGGACTTACTGGATATTTATGTGTCAATTTCTTTAGCTCTTACCTGAGAAATTTTAACCCCATAATGGTTGGTGAAAGTGTCACAGCAAGCCGTTAAAGGCACTAAAGATACGTTATGTGGCACTGGGGCTTGAGACAAGTCCCTTACCATCCTAAGCAGCTCTGCTAGACATGAATATGCAGACACAACAGGAGCAGAGAAGAAAACCTTTGCTGCTTATAGTGCCACCCCATAGCAAAGATGCTTTCTATCAAGTATTTTGAAGAAGATGAGTCCAGATTTCCACTATTGGTACTCCAGTTGTTCTTCTTATTTTATATATCAGAGTTCCATCATATACCATGGAGCACTATTAGAAGCAGGACAGAGATGGCACACAAGTGCGATTGTGTCTAAGGCCCTAGTTAACTCCTGATTCCATTTTGCGACTAGGGACTTGACAGAATGGCTAGTAGAACTGGCCAAAGAACCCCCTAGGGCTCACTGGAAAACTGCTGGTTCCATAAGTCTTCAAGGGCAGACCTTTCTAATAGATCCATCATCTCTGCAGGGGCACAAAGAAAGGGTTGTGATCTTAGCCTTGACAAGGTAATGTTCTGACAAAGGCAAGACTGAGGGTGTAGAAACTTTAGTCTGCAAAACCAACTGTTCAGAACTGAATATAGCATTGAGTGTGTACGCAGCAGTATGTATTGTCCAGAGACTAAATGGAACATGCCCATGGTTGCCATGAACTCCTGACCAACACCTGACAAAGTGGATTCCAAAGCAACATTGAAATCCACCAGGATTAACAGCCTGGGGGTATCCAACACCAGTTCCCAGTCCTGAGTTCAGCCAGAGATTCTACTGGGCAACATATGATCTGTATACCAGCAGAATTCCCAGTCTATCCATGGACCCAAACCTCAAGTACAACATTCAATGTATTTCAGTTCTTCAACAGGTTACCTGGTCAAAGGGATAGTAATCTTATAGAACTTAGGTGTGCACACGCACGCATGCATTCATGTGCACGCGCGCGCGCGCGCGCACACCCCTGCCCACTTTTCCTTACCTACTCCACAACAGATTAACCAGTTGGGAGAGCCTTTGCCTATATAGTACTGTCTTCTCCCAGCCAGGTATCTGTGAAACAGGCTAGGTTGATCCCCCTCATCCCTGGCAATTATTACAACAACAAGTGGTGAAATTACATATGACATTAGCAAACTCCACACAGCCAAAATCTCAGCTGTCAGGATAGTATAGGAAGGGGATCCAAGAGCAGATCCTCAGCTGTAAGATCAGAGCATTTTTTTCAAACATTGCTTTGTGGATTCCCTTTTTTCATATTATATCCATGTAAATATATGTTATCTGTGCAGAGCTCTATTTCTTAGTGCAAAAATGGGTTTTGTGTAATCAGTTTAATTTTGCAAATATATTTACATTTATGCTAAATGTAAATGCATTTGTTCTTTACATATGAATAGCCCATTGCAAGAATGAACTTCTGTAGAAGT